GCACCAAAAAACTAACCAAAACTCCACTAAAGTACTATTAACTCTTTCTAGATTAGATTTCGACTAATTAACAACTCAAACAAGTCTTAATAACCTCTAAACATGCTTTAAAACTGAATCACTCTTTCTAACCCCTAACTCATAAACTCACATACCAAAACCCCTTAATTTGACCAAAAACACCTATTATTCCCCTTAGTTTCATTCTCCTCTACTTTCAATCACATTCCACACACCTAACACATCTAAACAACTCCATTCAAATCAGATTTTAGTTACAAAATATAGTACTAGCTTCCCTTACCTGAGATCTCTTCTCCTTCACGACCACACCCAAGATCATGCGAGACGTCGGAAGAAAATCTCTACAAAACCCTAACCCCAAATCACCATAAACAGAAAGAGGAAAGTCATGAAATGTCGTTGTCGTCACACCTACGAGCGGAGGTCGTTGTGCCGCGGAGATGAAGTCGCGCTTATTGTTGGAGACGCTTCCCTTCCATGCATGTAACGATCCCTACCGTAGAGAGGAAAAGAAGTTTCCCCCGTCATTCTCTTTCTCTCATGCTCACAACTTTCTTAATCCTAGGGGTTTTTTGAAACAAGAAAGAAGAGGAGGAAAGAATGGCGAGAGAAGGAGAAGAGGAAATAATTATATATAGAAAAACAGGTTTCTTTACAATGAGTACAAAAATAAATTTGATAATAATTTGATGGATGCCAAAAATTGATGGAATATGAAGAGAAATTGATGAATACCAAAAATAAATCTGTTGGAACACGAAGAGAAATGATGAATACCAAAAATTGATGGAATATGAAGAGAACTTAATGAATACACAAAAATAAAATTTGTTTGGAACATGAAGGAAATTGATGCGATACAAAAAGTACCATAAATAGAACAAAAACACAAAAGATAGTAGCAATATATAGAATTAGTAAAAAGATAGAAAAATAAAAAGGAATTGAGGACTTCAATTCCGAGAACAAAGCTCTTAAACAAAGAAATCAGGATGATTTTTTATACTCAAAACATTTTCTCCCCTCACTTTATCAACATTCTCCAATAACGGAATTCCTCTTTCTCTCACCATAACAACCCCCAATAGCCTCAAGGAATTGATCCTACTACCTATGTCAGCTCAACATCCTTACATAATGTCTTTCTTCCTTTTTCTCATGTGCACTTTTTACTTGATAGGGTTCATATTCTCCCAATAAGAATGGACAATGGTTTTCTTTAGGTTTAATCTCCATTACGAGTCTCATTATTGCCCCTACTTGTAGCAATAGTCTTGTCTTCAGACTAGAGTGGGAAATTGATCCTAAACACGTTCCATCTTCCAAGTGGCCTCATCAACCGCCTGTCCACTCCACTGCACGAGCTATTAATGGACTCTCTCTCCAACTTTCCAAATGCTCGAATAACCAATTCGTTATGGGTTCCTAGGCATTTCATTTTCTCCGACCAATCATATTGGTAATTTAGGTTTCACAGAATAATATAGCCATTCTTGTACACTCTAGACTTTTGATAGGTCCACTCCTATGCCTTCTTGGGAAATAATATGGCCTAAAAGTATTCCACACTCTTTTGACCAAATAAGCATTTCTTTGTACTAACATAAAGTTAGTGGAATCTTAGGATGCCCAAAATTTCCTCCAAAGTGGCTAAAATGAGGTTTTCCAATGCACACTAATATTAAAATGTCATTAAAGAAGAACCAAAACATACTTTTGCATATGTTACCTGAAAACTTCATTCATGAGGGCCAAAAAGGTTGACGAGGCATTCATCAACTGAAAGGCATTACCAAGTACTCATAATGGCCCTCATGGGTTCTGAAAGCTATTTTTGGGATGTCGTCCTCTTTCATCTTCACTTGGTAGTATCCATATTTCAGGTTTAATTTTGAAAATAAAAAAGACGAGGCCCATGTAATTTGTCTAACAGTTCTTCAATCACTAGAATTGAGAATTTGTCTGGTATAGTGACCTTATTTAGTGCTTTGAAATCCACACACATACTCCAAGAAACATATTTTTTCTTTACCAATAATATTGGGCTAGAGGATGCACATGACTAGGCATATGTGAGTCATCTTCCAACAATACGTGAACTTGTCTTTCTATCTTCATTTTTTTTGGTGATAAGGATAATGATAAGGGCGTACATTGACAGGACCTTCCCTTGGTAGCAACGTGAATGCCATGTTCCTTTGATTGCACTAAGGTAATCCCTTGGAGAGTTCTGGGAGACAATGTTTAAATTGGGCCCAACAACCTTTACAACTCTTTACTTTGCTTTGAAGATAGTTCAAATTCGGCCATTCCTTGCACCTCAACTTTGTCCTCAATCATCACCTTTAGCGCAGTGAGGATGATTTTAGAATGCATGCATCAGTCTTTTCAAGATGCGAGTGCCCTCCGACATCTTGATCTCCCCAATTGACCAATGTCTCCCCCAATGATGTTAGCCACGATATCCAAGTAATCGTATCGAGGTCTTGCAACCTAATAAGTAGGCATCCGATTTCAAATTTCCTCCCTCGTGCTCCACCTCCAAGCCGCAACATAACCCTTGTGTTTAAGTCACATGGCCATCACCCATCAAGACCTTCATGTTTCTCGCGTTTTCATGTTCCCAATCTAGAGATACCACCAATTTTTGAGAAATAAAGTTGTGGATTGCCCAACTATTAACCAAAATCAAAATCAACACATCTTTAATTTGCCTTTCAGTTTCAGAGTGTAGGCACGAGTGAACTTATCTTCCACCAAACTTTGAAGACTAACATGTTGTAGTTTCCTTCAATTACGATTGTCGGTCTTATTACCTTAAAATGTGTATTTGTCAACTTTTCCTTCATTTTGCGCATTGTTCTCTTCCAATATCATTATTTTTATCTGCTTATATGGACACGTGTGGGAAGGATGGTAAGGCTCACCATACTTAACACATAATCCTTTATGCCTTTTATCAAATAGCTCTTGATAGGATAAATGTCTTATGCCCTTATCATGTGGCCAATGTCCCCTTTGTCTACCATCTCATTCTTTAGGCTTAACCCATTAGATATACCCCTTTCAAGGTTCCTCTTAGTCTCCCTTTTGAAATTCCACACCTAAATTACTTTTCCCACCATTTGAATGAGTCCTTCCTTAGGCTTTACTACCAGACTCAAAACAAGAGTCTTGACGACCCATCCCACCACACTCTTACTTCACAGAGTCATCTCCATTTCTAGCGTTCTAGCAACATTTAACATACGTCTACACGTCAATGACATCAGTGACTGTATGCTCATGAGACATGCCCTAGTATCGACCTTTAACCTCGTAATGAAATAGGAAAAATACTGATCATCAAGAATACGAGATACCTGAACAACCAAATACTCAAAACTTTTAATATATTCTTCTACTATCCCAAGTTGTTTAAGCACGGTAAGTTGTTCATAACTGCTTTCTTCAATTGTTCCCAAGACAAATCTTCACTGTCATTCACTAGAGAATTGAAGAAATGAATTATTGTTCCCTCCATGCACAATTGTGCCAAACTGATTGTCTAAATTCTTTCATTGCACCCCTCTAAAGGGGGCACAACCCATAACTAGAAACACTCTTGTTTTCCTTTTTCTTATTCGAGTCAACTGACTTATCTCCTTCCTCTGTTCCTTTTTGTGACAAGCCAAGAGAGATCACCTCCACCAGTTTTGTCTATGCCTTTGCCTGAGCCTGAAGCTCACCAATTCACTCGTAACTCCATGTTATCTTCCTCTGCTAATTTCTTGATCTATACGACGATTTGCTTCTTCCTCATTTTGGCATCCACCAGCGTGACAAATCTAGTAAATCAGACCAAATTGATGGATACCAAAGATGCAATAGAGGATAATAGGTAATAGAAATGTATATGATATTATTGAAAAGATAGGAAAATCAGAAGTGAGATTCTAATTTCCATAAAAAATATAGGTCAATAGATAATAGAAATGTATATGATATTATTGAAAAGATAGGACAATTAAAAGAATTAAGATTCTAATTCTCATAGCAGAACCCCTAAATAGATAAATCAATATGATTCTCTATAGAACAGAGGACAATATATAATAGAAATGCAACAAACGACAATAGGTGCTTTGAGCTTCATCTCCTTACAAACCTCATCAGAAATCAAATTCATGTTAACATACAATCATAAGATGGTATAAGAGCAACTTAATCATGCTCTGCTTACACTGCACCATTCTCTTTGTTGCATAGTTTTCCAGTTTTGATCAAGTTTTGTTTTCTTCTTTTTCTTTCTTCATTGTTATACCGATTTCAATATTTTATCGAATAAATTTTTAAGGCCAATTCCAAACTGCACACGCAACACACCACAAACAACATTGTTACTAATAATATCACGATCTTGTGAAAGCAAAGGAAAATTAGCTTTCCTGCATAATGTTTGTCAGATACAGTTGTCACCAACACATCTTTAATACTACTCGAAATATTATTTTCCAATCTAACATACCTAACAATCTATAGTCTCTATATATTCAAATTTCATCCTAAAAGTATTATTCTAAATTTTACTTTTGATTAGAATTTTGGTTGAGTCATTTTTCCATTTATTTGTTTTGTTGATAGAACGTCTGTTTCATCAGAACAATTATTCTTAAAATATCATTCCAGTTTTAAAAAAAAATTCTTAAAAATATTAGTGAATTCTTAGTGTTAACCGTCAATAATATCGCATAAGAGTAGAAGTCAAATACATTTTAAATTTTCTCTTATTTTTATTTTGTAAAATGTCTCTTAAGATAAAATTCTCAAGTATCAAAAGTGTATAATAAATGTTTTTAGAAGTTTTAATTTTTAAAAACAAAATTCTAATTAAAAAAAAATGTTTTTCGTATTTTAAGAAAATAAGTTAAATGAAGAAAATGTGTTATAAAAAAAATATCTGGTGCGGGTCCACAGAGCATAGCATTGCAAGGTTTAAGAGAGGTTTGAACCATATCCTGTGATTTCTTTGCTTCTCACACCAAGCGTGGTTCGTGTTGGTAACGACGAACACAAATTTCACCATTTTCATCGTTCTGTTGGCTGCTCCAATACCTAAAACGCAATGACATTGGCCTATCCATTCCCGACTCCTCAGGTTCACGCATACCACAACCCAAGCAGAAGAAGCCACTTTCAGATAAAACGCAAGCCTAACCGCACGCACCACTTTCTCTTAATACCGACTTCTTCACCTTCCTCGTTCCTCTTCTCTTGTTCATCATTCCCTCTCACATATTCAGATTCAACCCTACAATTTCGCCACAACCACCTTCTCTCCACCGATGGCAATTTTGTGGTCGAAGACCTTGCTGCGGCGGTGGAGGAGGAAGCGAGTCCAACGACGGCGATGGTTTTCGTCCAGGAGCCGCCGTGGCTCTTCCTGAAGGGGTTGCTAATGCAGGAGGAAGAGATGAGGCGGAAGGAGGAAGAGACGAGGCAGAAGGAGAAAGAGAGGGAAAAGTACAATTGCCTGCGGCGGAGGCAGATTGAGGCGGAGACCGAGGCGTGGCAGAAGATGGTGGAGGAGTACAGGGAATTGGAGAGGGAGATGCGCCAGAAGATGTTGGCGCCCAATTTGCCGCACGTTAAGGCGCTTCTATTGGGCTGGTTCGAGCCTTTCAGGACCGTAGTGGAGGCTGAGCAGAAAGCCCACCGTGCGCGTTCCAAGAAGCAGCAGGATTCTATTGCACCCCATGTCGACGACTTGCCGTCCGATAAGGTGGCGGTCATTGTGATGCATAAGATGATGGCCATGGTAATGGAGAATGAGGAAGGCTGCGTTCAGCTTGTTCATGCGGCTGTTCATATTGGCATGGCGGTAGAACAGGAGGTAATGTCAGGGTTTTGTTTTCAAATTACTAGAATGGTATAGTTTTAGGTCTGGTATACTGTGCATAGCTTGAAACTAACCTTGGGCATCAATGTAGTGGTTGGGTAAAATCTTCCCCTTAGCTATCTTTTGAAATATTAGTCATTTTTGTCGGCGAAGTCCACTTTGTCGTTGACTTATACTTTGATGTGGCCAACCACTCTTGTGTAAGACACAGTTAGTTGATTGTATCAAGACACTAGTGACGACAATGCATAATAATAGAACAACATAACCATCTAACGCCTAAGTGGTTTAGTAATGTATTGGATTTTGGAGTCAATTTGGATTAACTTCTTAGCAAACACTTTGAGAAAAAGAAATAAGATGGATAAAGAAGTTAAATGAGTCAAACATATTTCATGATTTTAACTTATACACTTAAAATTCTACCAAAAGAAGAAATTAGCTCTGCAGTATTTTAGAAGTCTTTCTACTGTAACTAAAACACCAATTCTTGCTTTAGGAAAGTCTTAGCACAAGGGTTTACAATCAACCCAAACTGGACCTTATTCCAAGTCCGTAGAAAACTTACCTCTATTTCTGGCTTGACTGAAACATAATTGTGGCAGGTTTTTTATAGAAGTTGTAATTAACTTATTGTATTTCAGGTTAGGATTCATAAGTTCATTGAAAGAAGAAAAACTAGCCGGAGTAACAAGATAGAGGCTGATGACCAAGACAGTTTGGATAGTAATAAAGAAAAGCAAAGGAATCATTTGAACAGTTTGATTAAAAAAAGTAGACTGAGAGAAGTGCAGATGATATTGAAAAAGGAAGAATGCAGTCCTTGGAGCCGGGACACGCAGGCCAAGGTTTCTTTTAATAGTTACAAATGTAGTATCTCTTTTGGTTGTAAACATGGAATTTAACAAGTTAACTGTATTGTGCAGCTGGGAAGTCGATTAATAGAATTGTTAGTTGATACAGCATATGTACACTCTCCGGTTAACCAGTTTGGTGATACTCCACCTGATATCCGACCGGCTTTCAGGCACTGTTTTAAAGCCGCACCGTGGCATCCAGGGTGAGATTTCACTTTTTTCTTTGAGGGTGGGACTGGGAGATGGGCAGAACTTGATAATTAAGATCTGGGGCTTGAACCCCCTAACAAATAAGTGACACTATATGGTTATAGGAAGTTAAGATTGGTTGTTTCTGTGATCGAGAAATTTGATTGTTATATGTAATGTGTCTTTAGAAACTGAAAATACTTTACACTAAGTAAGAGAGTACAAGTTAACAATATAGTTGCAGAGCTTACCTAATGGCTTGAGCGTCCAATGCTTAAAAAGGTAAAGTAACACTCCACAAGCTGCATATAAATTAAATGGTTGATGTGCTCCAATCTTGTTATATATAATCACATTTGAGGCATCTAAGAGACACATTTGGTACATACAATTTGTATGCTCCAGCTTGAGGAGGAGTGTTAGAATATGTACCCTATTTATCATCATTACATTGTGTCTAGGATTACCCTATTTATCATTATTATATTGTGTCTAGGGTTACTCTATTTATCATGTACTTTGTATCAAACTTTCATATATATAGAATGAGAGTGAGAGGGATCTTTTAAGCTTTCGAGAATTATTTTAGAGTTTCAATCTCAAGTGTGGCCAAGTAAAATAATTTTCATTGAAAAATGTTGCTTGATATATTTTTTATTGTTTGACACATACCTATTAGAATCTTACTATTCTTGGTTCAAATCTTACTATTGATACACTTTGGCTATCTACCAATCTGTATTCCAAGATTAATCTTAAATAGTTTTGTATCTTACGGTATATGGATGAATCAATGTAATTTTGTATCCCTATTACAATTCAACGATTTATATGTTTTTTACTTCACCAATTCTTAAGAAAAGAAATTAAAAGTCATGTAAACTTAAATTTTTAAATGAAAGGGAATTTGAAAAAAATACTTTGAGCTTATCCTATTTCCTTATTTCATCTGTATATGTCACTCATTCAATGCATGTACTCTATTTAGCTATTTACTTTTTTGTTTTCATTATAAAATAAAGGTTTCATAAACTTAATATAACTAATAGTTTTGTTTTGTACGTAGTAGTAAATAGTGTGTGATAGTGCTACTATCACACTGGAGTGGAGCCCTAATAGAAGGTTTCTCTGTGTTCAACTTTGGTGTTGTGGTCAAGTTTCATTTTACGTCCAAATTTGAAGAGATTGCACTGTTTTGCGATGTTGTGTCAAAATTAGGGTAAAGAAGCCTGTTGTGATATTTGTGGTAGCACAACTCATAGGTTTGGAGCTTTGATACATGTTAGTAGAGAAACAAGTTTTTTTCAAATTTGTTTGAGTAGTTATCTCACTCAGCACAATGGATTTATTTGTTTTCAATGTTCTTAAAAAGGTAATTTATGACAACATATTAAAAGAGAAGAACTAGATACCACTACTTCCTATGGTGCATTAAACCAAGCTATAACTCATCTAGGGAAGTGGGAAATATAAACATTGCAGTTCTTGCTCCTCAACTATATGTATTTAAAACAAAGTAGATATTCTTTACACTCTGACTAACTGTATATCTTGAAAGAGTAGGTAAGGGATTAATTGAAGTTCCTTTATCACATTTGTTTATAAACTGCAATTTCAAATAACTGTTTTTTGCTTGTAGGCAAAAGTTTTCAAAGAAGTATGGTGTTATACAATGTGATCCCTTAGTCCTAGTTGGGCTTGAACAATGTGTAAGTTGAGACACTGTCTTCTTTTTCTTAAGCAATATTATGTCATAGATGAAGTTATTCTGTTCACAGGATAACTCCTGAAGTGATAGCTTCATGATTATAAAGTAAATCCAGTATCATCTTCTATGTGTGATATTCTTGTAAGTGACAACTATTTTTTAATTTCATTCACCTCTTCCCAAAAGAGCTAGCATTTGGATGCAGGTGAAGATAGATGCTCACTCCTTTGTTTTTATGAATCTGTATAAACGTCTTTTTCTATCTAAAATCACCAAGTTTTGTTGAAATAGTGAAATCTGGACTTCTCCATAAATGCTGTTCCTTTGTTCTGTTATTCTCAATTTTTTTTGCTATTAAGCATGCAATTAGACTTAAGTTAAACATGATATACTAATTCATTTAAGTTAGTTAGCATGCACTACTAAAAAGTGTGTAACATAAGGTTTTGACTCACTTATAAGTTTTTGTTTCTGCAGGCTAAGCATATGTTCATACCTTACATGCCTATGTTAGTACCTCCCAAAAAATGGAAAGGGTATGACAAATGGAATGAATGTCTCTCTTGTATTGTATTTTGAAATTTGGAAATGCCTGAATTTTCTTTGATTTTATATCATTATAACATGATTTATTATGTGGAGTTTGAAATTTCAAGATCCAGGAGAAAGAAATGTAACTAGTAAATGAACTTATAGCTTTCTTTTAAAATTAAAAATGAACCTGAATTTGCAAAAAACAAAATATGAGAATAGTGAAGGATGCAGGTAACTTTTAACTCTTAAAAAAAATAAAAATGCTTCATAGTTTAGTTGTTTATGCATTTGTTTGTCTAACATTTTATAACACACTCTTTGTA